CGGCTAGATTCGTTGACCTAGCTAACCAAGTGTAACCTTAGTCAAGTTGATCGAGAATTTTATTAAGAAAAAAAATAAAAATAAAAAAAGCTCTCCAGTGGCAAACAGCTAATGTAGTCCTCGTTCAATGCTTCCAACTGGCAGGTGCTCGCCACACGCCTCTTCTTCCTCAACCCCCCACCCTCCATCTCTATGTCTATCTCTATCTTAACAAGTGAAAGAAAACTGGGATTCTTTCATTCAGGACTCATATAGCAATTCATTACAGTATGTATTTCTTTCTCATTTGTTATCCAATAATAACAATTATTCTTTCTCAATTGTATAGAGTTTGATGAGCTCTTTTCTTTTTTCATTTTTACTTTTATTTTTATTATTTTTCTGAGATTGTTAATTGGTGTATGAAAAGTTAGAGACTTGTGGTTCATTCATTTATTCATGTTTTTTTCCCCCTAATTACAACCTGTTTGCACTTCTGCTATAGTCTACCTAGGTTTTTGTCGAAAACAAACACAATTGCTTCTTGAAACTAATTTTCGATATGTTGATAGGAATACTAGGCCTCAGTTAATAAGTTAAATCTGGTTATGCGTTTATATAGGCCTGGCACCATAATCAAGATTTGATTAGAATGATTAGTGGCTTGCTTAATTTGATTGGTTGATCTTAAATTCTTTATGTTCTCCAAGAAAAGGTAAATTGTTTGTATTTACATTTACTAGTTTTTTGGATTGCAATGGGTGTCTTCGGCATTAACCTCTCGTATATCATAACCTGCAGGGTGGTAGTGAAACGGCTAAGGAGTTTGGTGATTTCTCCAGTTGTTGAAAAGTCTAGCATGGCTGTGGAAACGTCAACAAACAGGCCCGTGCTTTAAAATCCCACTCCTAGTATTTTGCATAAGAATTGTATTTGATTAGCTTGAGTTTTCCTATCATATACTCCGGTGAATGCAAGAAATCTTACTTTTATTGAACATGCGCAAACTCTTACAGAGCTTGTGTCTTTGTTTATATCATTGGTATTCTTGAAAATTGGGGGCTATCTAGATCCTAATCCAAGAAATTACAATCCTATAAAACTGTCTGCGATTGGAGCTTTGGAGGGATTGTGCCAAGTAATCGACCAAATCAATGTCAAAATAGTTTAAGAGGAACACAAAATCCTAGTGGGATACATTATATCTATCGTTATGCTAGTGAGGAATGACATACAACTTGTGAAACGGTGTTCTTTATAAATCGAGAGCAAATTCTACGAAATGAACAGTGGTTATCCAAGCATATGATATCTTTTAATTAATATCTCTTCGCAAAATGGTAAGATGTATAAGACAATGTCTGTAAAGATATAAAATTTTCATAAAATTATATACGGTACATTATACAAGATTCTAGGTTCAATATTAGGAAGAGGAAATTCTAAAATCAGGTGTAAGTTCTCTTAACATTCTAAAAGCAGAAAAGATGGGTTGGAGCCAGTCTTTTGAATTTGAACCATGGAATTTGCTATGCAGAACCCTTGAATCATTGAGCTGTAGATGATAATCCTGTGGATACATGGCCCCCTGAAATTTTGATTTGCTAGAAGAAATTTCAAAAGCGTTGCTAATAAGTGGACTTTCCAGGAGTCATTTATGCGCATTCTCTGCTAGGATTTCTCAATCTCCTTACAATAGGATACAAGAATTTTTTAACGACTGTGTTGGAGACTTTTGAGTGACATTGGTAATGTGGAATTCTTGTAGTCACCGGTGTTGATGCAAGATCCACTAAATTTTACATTTGTAAAATTATGTTGCTTTTTAAATATACACGCTTTCTTGAAATGAGTTATAAATTATAAGTCACGTTCCAGCTAATTCAAACAGTTGTATTGTGTTACTTGCATTCCCATCCCCCAAATTAGAAGGAAAGTGGAAGAATTAAAAAACCACCCCTACTGGAATGAAGACTGAAGTTTATATGGCTACCTGAAAATTTCTATTGGCTTTTAGATTGTTTTGTCATTGTATTATTGTCAATCCTCGTATTTCAATGGTTCTGAAAAAGTACAGTGCTTTCTCTTTCTGAATTGAAAGATAAAAATATGCTATTCTTATTGATTTACAGCATGCGCACATAGTTATTCAATTTGATTTTTACTTTTACTTTTCTTTTTCCCTTTGTAGGTTTATAATATTCAGTGGCTGATGATGTATAGATTTTTTACACACTTTGGCCTTTCTATTTTAACTTTTTTAATAAAGCTAGAAAAAATATTCAACTTTGAGTTACTGTACAGAAACATTGTGGTCCTGTCTGATGTCAAAACATCTCTCAACGCAGGGATCATTCTGGCAAGAAGAATCAGGGAAAAGTTCCTAAGAGAATTTCCAAAGCTGAGAGAGAGAAAACAAAGCGTGAACATTTGAACGAACTCTTTCTTGCTTTGTCTAATGCTTTAGGTATTTTCTAGATGTTCTAATGATTCTACTTCAAATATTACATTTCTGCCTCTAAAATTTCTTAATTAAGTTATGTGGTTCCATTCACAGACCCATAGTTTCACAACGTGGAATCTGACATCAAAACTTGATATCTTAAATGATTGTTTTTACAGAATTATCTGAGCAGAACAATGGTAAGGCCTCTGTATTGGATGAGGCAATTCGTATGGTGAAGAACACACTAGATGAGATCGACTGTCTCGGAAAAGAAAATACAGCATTGTTGTCTGAATCTCAATATGTAAGTCATTGACATTTAATATTCACATTATGTGTCGAAACCTTTTTATGACCAACAGTGCTAAGTTTCATGCTCAGCAATTTTCATCAATGGTTTTTGTGTATGCTATAACTGAACATGATTTAATTAATATGTTCTGAAATGAAATTTATGTCAATTCATAATGTAGATTTTTATGAGATCTATAATCCACTGGGAATATGCCCTGGTTATGCTGGGGACCCTTTGAAGAGGAAGGGCGGGGGGTGAAGCGCATAAAAAAAAGGCAAAAAAGTGGTAGGACAGCAAAAAAAGGAAAATTGACAAAGAGGATTCTAGCATAGTTGACAAAATCTTGCATTTAGAATTTCGGAAATCCTTTATTTTTCTAACACTAAACTAATTCTGATCTTGTAAATAAAGTTAGATTTTTTTATTTTTTTTTTGTTGACGCTTAAACGTCAAAATTTTTACTTTTTAATTTTTTAACATTAATTTTATTCCTGAACATGTAAATTGTTAAATACTACTACTTATATTTCTTTATCAGGGTGTTTGGTGGGGATTAAAATTAGATTTTTAGTGGATTGTGATAGCAGTATTTGAAATGTGTGGTTGAAAAGATTTGGGACCCATGAAAGATGTGGTTAATATTGATTGTTTGACTTTGATTTTGACTTTGATTAAAATCAGATTTTAATCTGGCCCAAACATGTTGTATTTTTTTCCTTCATTTTTAAGTTATATAATACATTATTACATGATTAATATATTAAGAACCTGGTACTTTCATTTCCATCGTGCAAAAGATTTTGGTAACTTCCACAAATAGTACTCTTTTTGAAGAATGTAACATATGATGTTGTAAATGATCCTCAGTAGTACTATGTTTTGAAATCTTAAACGTAATAGAAAAGAAATCTTTTGCAGGTCCTATTATGAAAGACACTGGACATGGATAGATGTAGTGTAATTCCTAATTTTCTTAAGAAACATCACAGGGTGAATGGAAAATTACAAAAAGAATAAACGAAAAGAAAATTCGGGACACTGTTTTAGATCTGAGTCAGGTTCTTTTAACTGGTCAGGAACTCTAAATTTAACCCAAAATAACTTTCTTTGTTGACAGGTAAGCATGGAGAAAAAAGAGGTACAAGATGAGAATTCTGCTCTGGAGACCCAAATTGGAAAACTGCAATGTGCACTCAAGGGGAGGGTTTCTGGTTCGCAACTCGACCTAAACGTAGCCCCGCCTGAATGTGAGCTTCAAGAACTGGAATCACATGTTGGTGATGACCATCATCATAGATTGGCCTGTATGGAACCGGTTGCTAATCCTTTATTTCTCGTCCCCGTCTGCTATCAAGAGCCTGCTATGACAGAAATTGCAGGTAAGCCTATGCCGGTTGTAAGCAAACCACATCCTAGATATCCTACTGAAGTAGACACATGGTCGTCTGATTTCTTGAAGACCAATCAGAGTTAGGCGTGAAATTTCGATAGGATGATAGAATTGGATGTGCAGGAGGAAGGCTTTGACAATGGAAACTATGTGATCTACAGTTCTAGTCGGCTAAAAAACACATCTTATGTGATCTACGGTTCTAGTCTGCTAAAAAACACATCTTCCATCACCTTTCAGTACAGACACTTGAATACTTGGCCTCTTTCCTAATGTGTAGATAGAGATGATGAATTTTGCCATAATTGTAAGAATGGTTAACATTAAAGATATGTTTCTACGCTGTTTTCAAAAAGTTTAAAACTCATTTTTCTTTCAAATTCATTTTCAAATTCTCATTTTATGAGATTCACGACTAAAAATTTGATTTTTAGTTGAATCAAAAGGGGTTAAGTACCGTACAATTCAATTGTTTGTCAACGAAAATTAATGAATATGAATATTCATAATTAGTGTGATATACTGGATAGTTCATAGACAACAATTTAAATATCATGATAAATATCTCCAATCAATAATCACAACACTATTTACTTTCTTCTATGAGTTTATTTCCAAAAATTAATGAATTGACTTCCACAAACGAATAACTTTTGAAGTACCGACAAAGTAAAAAAACAAACATCTTTTCCCAGAAAATGTGGACGGTGTGCTTTGTATTATTATTAATTTATGAGAAGATTACTTCAATTATAGAGGAATCATGTTACATGTACCGTGTTCGTTTACAATGTTGGTTGATAATATCTTGCTTGACATCATTATATTCATTCATTTTAAAAAAACTCTTTTTTACATCACATATTTCGATTTTCATTACACATGGTTGTCGATCAATATTGTCAATCATATTTGTACACTTCATTTTATTCATTATCAAAAGGCTATGTCACCTTGAGCTTCACGCTAAAGATTCATCAATTTTATCGAGATTCAACTATAGAGAGGCAATTTCGAAAGAGTTAGAAATAAAGAAAAGAATCTTTGAAATCAAATTTACAAGTTCTTGTTGATAAATAAAGACATAAAAGAGTATCAAATGAAGAAGAATATGAAGTACAAAATATACATACATGTTCAATACAAGTTATATCGACCTTTTAATACAAATGTAGAATTACAGAATTTGTTTACAATTTTATATGATATACATCTACGCCTAATCTAGTTATATATATATATATATATAAAACTTTAGACCAATAGTTTCAAAACATCTATTTTTCTCGTTCTAACCCTTGAAAGTCGCTAAAATGATATTGCCCCGTATGTCTCTCTTTTCTTAAATTTTTTTTTTTCACTTATTTTCAACCACATATTTGCACTTAAATATTAATTTGTTTCTATTTTTAATCATACATTCTTAAAAACATCACTATTCAAAAAATTATTTTTCCCTACTCGAAACAATTCAAAAAAGGGACAAATATTTGCTTATCGTGCGTCTCCAACTCAAAATAATTTGTTTCTTAAAATTCTTTATGGGATTAACGAAAAAGAAATTAATCATATAAAGATTTCTTCAGCTTCCACGAATACACGTATGACGACTGCAACTACTTTTGATTTGGACCACGAAACAACACTTGTCCTAGCTGCTTTTGTCCTCCCTCTTTTTCTCTCTCTATTTCCTTCTTTTTCTTTGAAATTGAACTAACCCTATTAATTCACTTGCATTTCATCAGAAAAAAACGTAAATCTTCTGTAATTGGAAGATGGGGGGATCTAATGCTGCAAGTTTCCTTAAGGTGCTGATCAGTAATTTTGACGTTCTTGCCGGGTCTGTCTCTTTCTTTTTCCCTATCTCGAGTGATTCTGCTTCAGTTTTAAAGTTAAAGTTTTATTATTTTCTATAGACTTGATGCAAGAATACATGTGATGTGAATGATACTGCGTGATTGATGATCCAGGTTCTTGATTTAGGATTTATTCTTTGCTGTGAAAGTGTTTATAAATTGATTTGCGGGGAAAATCTTGATGGGTTCTTGATTATTAGGTGAAATAACTTCTAATGATTTGTTTATTTATGGGCTTTCACTGATTTTGCTTCATGTATTTTATGTTGCAGGCCTGTAGTTAGTCTGGTTTATCCTCTGTAAGTATGGCTTTTCTTGCTATAAACCAAGTACTATTTTATGACAACGTGTTTGGTGTGGTGAATTGGATGGAACCACATTATTAAAATTGAAAAAGTAGTTAAATTTTTTTCGTACTTCTGTTGGCAACCGTCCAGTATTTTGCCCCGACGTGCTCTTATTTTGCACTCACAGATGAGTAAATACTTGATTCTGACCATACTATTTGAGAATAATTTTCAGTTTATGGTCATGGTGTTTTAAATTTTTGGGCAGATATGCATCGATTAGGGCAATTGAGACGAAATCGCCCATTGATGATCAACAATGGCTTACTTATTGGGTTCTCTACTCCATGATTACACTTTTTGAGCTTACATTTGCCAAGCTCATTGAGTGGTGAGTTATTGCTATTTTTCCCCTTCATTTACTTATTTCCAAAATTTTTGTGTTTGGAGTGCTGTTGGTGTAGAATTCAACCCATTTAGTTACTATAGTATTTGAATGTTAGTTACATGTTAGACTTAACCTAGTCATATGATGCATTATTAGGATTTGAACCCGAGACCTATTTCTTGTGCAGAATCACATAATTCCATGACCAATATACTCGTCGATGATATATCCTTTTTGGTTTTTTAACAATAATTTTCCTCCATCATTGTTCATTTTTTAATTTAAAAATCAAAAGATGAGAATTAAAAGGGAATAACAGAGAAAATAATTATGTGAAGAATAGGGAAAAGAAGCACAGGAAGGAGAAGGAAAGAAGAGGAGGAAGTGACAGGGGAAGAATTGAAAACCATGGTAAAATTAGCTTACTAGTTCAATGCAAAAGTCTGAATTTTATATTTGAAGTTGATTTATAACAGGTGCCCAATAAATGACACACAACTGGACAAGAGTTCAAATATCATAACGATCAAGTATAGCATAATGGAACCTTTAATAAAATTCAGGTCCAAACTAATGCTTGAAAACATGGACGGGACATTGACCTGAAAAGGGCAAAGGGTCTAAAGGTCAAATCGGTGTAAAAAATAATTGAATAAATAACACATATATGTGTGGAGACCAGAGGTGGAATTGTGATAGACTGATAGCCTTTTTTTCTTTCTTTTACTACATTTCGTACTATGGTGCATTGTTTTAGGTATTTGATATTTCCCCCCAACTCACCACTCTCTCTCTCTCTCACCCACTGACATAAACACACATTCACACGCTAACTGTACCCACCCAGCTGCTGGGAGCTAATTCCAGAAAATACATCCAGAAGACGACAGGAGGAGCGGGAGATTTATGTTATTTGAGTTCCTTTTGTTAAAGGATAAATTCCACACAGATTAAGGGCCTGTTTGGTACGGCTCAAAATCCAATTAAAATTGAAAATATAGCCGTTATTGGGTCCCATTCATCTAATAAAAGTCAATAATAACGACTAGTTTTTCAATTTTAATCCGATTTTTATCTTTACCAAACACCCTCTAATTACCGAAATATAGACCAACATATAAGGTCTTGGATTACTCCTATTAATAAAGTTGACATTTTAACGTGGAACCTCAAGTCTTAATATAGTGTCAGGTCTCATTGAGCTCTAACGAGCAATCTGATCTGATCAAAACTCAAAAAATAAGCACATGGATTTCAAGATTGGTTTGCTTAAATGAACTACCATCTTTTGGAGACTTGTTAAGGGATAAATCCCATATTCCCTAAACGTAAACAACATGTAAGGTTTGGCTGCTCCTCTTTAAAAGTCGACATTTTCAGAAGAACCCCAAATCTTGATACCTTGAACTTTATTTTCTCTCCATTTTCTTTTAAAAAATTAAAACGTCACTGGCTGACTCTGTAAAATTGGTCCCAGGTCAATTGAACCGGTTGGTTGACCAACTTTGACACCAATTTTTAGCAATATGGTATCTGATATATAACGAGACCTGTTCCTGGTTTTTCCAGTCGGACTGGTCAAGTCTTGATTACATTGCTCCAAGTGATAAAATGACAGTTGATCTTGAAAATGACGTAGTTCCTAGATCGATCCCTTATTTTCAATTTTCAGTCCATTGAACTTGAGAGTTTTGTATGACACCACCATGGATTGTTAAAACTGCACACATGCGATTAGATGTGCAAACTTTTTAAACTTGACAACTTGGAAGTGCCAATCCTTTGAATAAATAAAACTTTTATCACTTAATGCACAACGTGGTGATACTAAAGGATATAATGATGTTAGGGAAGAATACCATCAATGGGAATATTGAATAGGGATTTGGAGATTTTATCTTGTGTTTTTTATGAGACATGACAGAGATATCTATGAAAGCTGATATCCTTGTGGTGTATATCTGGTTAGTAGTTATGGGTGGAACCGTACAAAGAATCAGATATGTTATTTATAAGTTTGCCTGTAATTTTGCGTCACTCCTTGGGTAGGAGTATATATGCGCATGATCTTGGGATGGATTAACATTCAAATGCCTTTTATTTGAATTTCTGGTTACTAGACTAGAAACTATATAGTGTCAGATTTGTGTTTTGGCATTTAGCAATTTCATTTGTAAAGCTGAAGTGTAGATGTAGTATGGTGTACATTTCAGTCACCGTGAACAATCATAAGCTTTAGTTTTTGAAAATTCAGTCCGTGTTTGCTCTCTTACTTGAAAGCACTTGATTTGGATTAAAAATATTGATGACAGAACGCAGAGCTATATTGTAAAATGTTTGAAGTCCATAAACATGTCATATAGTAATTTTGCATCCTTCAAGTTGTATTGTAATTGCTATGTGCCTTGGTCCTTTTTAAGGAAGAGTACGTTCTTTGGTTACTTCAAAAAAAGATCCTCTAGGGGTGTCCAAAAATCCCGAACCGAAACGAGTGGTTCTTCGTAAATTAAATTCCCGAACGGGTACCTGAATCGAGAACCGATGGGTTTGGGT